TCAATATTATTTAGATTTAATTCATTTACATAAACACCTTCATATTCAACATTTATAACTTCACAATAGAGTATAAGAACCATCTAGGTTTTCATTTTCAGAAGTACAATATCAATTCAATTAGAAAATTCATTAAAATTTAATTATAAAATCCCTATTTCAGAACCAATTAATTCACCTTCTACTTCACCAACTTTTTCTAAAATGAAAAGTGAAATAAATGTATCTGATAAAAAAAAAAAAAAAAAAGTGAAATAAATGTAGTTATAAGATTTAAATTTTAAATCCAATTATAAGATTTAGTAGAAGGATTAAATAGTTTAAAAAATAAAGACAAAGAAAATGCTTTTCAAAACTTGATTCATTTTGTAAAGAACAAATAAGAAATTAATGGATTACAAAAATGAATATTAGAAAGGTTAATATGACATTTTTCAATAGTTTTCATATTAGATTAGTAAACTAGGTATTCATAATCCTTACGAAACTCCTCAAATTAATGTACAAACAAATTTATATAAAGAATGAAATTTAACTAATGGTACTACTGTAACTAATGTTTATCCATTTCTTCAATTTATTCAAATCGATACTCAATAAGGTGAAATTAAAGGCTCTCCATTTAAAAGGGCAAAGATAGTAATGAACTCAGAAATATGGAAAATATTAAAACAAATATATTTGTAAAGAAAAAAAGAAATAAAAGAATCAATACAATTATCTTCAAATAATACGATTTTAAATAGAATTAATCAAAGTCTAAATAAAATAGAAGCTAATTTATCTAGTTCATCTAATAATTCATTACCTAAAATTGGTTGTTTAGATTAATGTAATAGAAAATAAGAAACTAATTCATTATCTTCAAAAGAAACTGAATTAGAATCACAATTATCATAAAATATTAATCAAATTGAAGATAATTTTTAAGAAAATAATGAGATTAATAAAATAATGAGAAATAGGTTTAAAAGATCCTCGAAATAGAAAAATGAATAAATTATAAATTACTGGAATAGACCCACACCACCTTATATATAATATTATTTATATAATTTATAATTATATAAAATTTAAATTATAAATTAAAATTGGAATAAAGTTAATGATGGTCCAGGCGGCGGAGCCATCCCAGGAATTAGTGCAAATAATATTAAAAATTATGTGGCAAAACCGACCCAAATGTTAGTGAATTGGACTAGGCAATAATTTAAAATGTAAGTAATATAAGTAGAATGTGGTCTAGAAGTTAATTGATAAGACTAGACAGTAGCCTAGAAGTTAAGCAATAGAATTAGGCAGCGAAGCCGATCCAAAAATTAGAGAGAGGATGGAGGAGTAGATAAAAGGAGCTAGATGACAATGCCAACCCGAAAATATAAGAAAAAATTTCAAATAAGTATATAAGAAATGAACAATAAACTAATTTTAATGTAAAATTTTAATTGAACTTCTCGAAGATGAGTATGAACTATGATAGACTTTGATGAATAATAATGAACAAACTGGAATTTTGATCTTCTAGTGAGAGAAAATATCTAAAAACAATAATGAACAAGACTATACTAAAATGAATCAAGATAACCACGTAACCAATGTGAAAGATTACTTCTCCTTATAGACTAATGGATCTAGTAATACTAATATTGTAATAATATATGGTGGTAGCTGGAGATAGATATATCTATATATATAATATTTTATTTAGGTGGAAAGTTGAGCCCTTATTTAATATATTATATTATTAAGTGGTAAATAGGACCTAGATATTATAATAATTCTTCAGTTAAGTAACATTATTCTTGTTATATTGAGTGATAAATTTCATGATTTGAAAAAAAATAATTTAGCATCTCCATAAACTTCAGTATATTTTGTTTGAGGAGTCTCTGGGTCTTCATGAACTGTTATCTTACTTTGTAGAGTTAATGGTGTCTTACTAGTTTGAGTCTTTATAGTTGGACTTTTGAGAACTTTTTTGTTATTATTTTCTTTCCAAAAGCATTCCTTGCAATTTATCTTTCGGCAAGTTTATCAGTTTTCTTTATCGCTTTCTTTCGATTTAGGTTGTATTTTCTTTCCAATTTTTAATGAAAATTCATTTTTAAATCCTTTTTTTTTTTCTTTCAATTTCAATCGGCAGATTTTCTGCTGATAACCATTTCGTATACACAAAAAGATCACCTTAGGAATTTTTTTTAGTACCCCAGGGAACCCTTTGGCAGTACTCCAACCAGCTTCATCAAAGTTGTTGTAAAACTTGAATATACAGATTTCCGTATACAACAATTATATTAAAGTTTGCACAAAATATTTTTTTCGTTCAAAACTGATATTTGAGTGTAAATACAAATCTATAAGTTTTATACAAATAAAATATATAAACATATTAAATAGTCTTTTTTTAATAAGATAAATAAATAAATAATTGATTAATCATTCATTTTTATAATTTATTTAGATAAATTGTTATTTGGATTTTAATAAAATTATAAAAATAAAGACTTGATAAATTACTTATTTATTTATTTTATTCAAAAAAATAATATTATTTATAGATTTATCACTTATACTACTACACCAACAACAACAACAAAAACAATAATAATAATAATAATAATAATAATAATAATAATTCATCAAAATTTCTATTTATCAGAAGAAATTTTAAATTTTAAGAATTTTTCATAATTTTTCATCAAAATCCAATAAAATTTATAAATTTTTTAAATTTATGAATAATTGAATATCCTATAATTTTAAAAACTTCTAAAAATTTGGATACCATTCTACAGAGTCATAATTTGAATACATTCTGTTTTAAAAGTCCAATAAAATTTTATAAAGTAATGATTGAATATACCCCTTTAATTGTTACAGAAAACAAATTACAGTCAAACTAAAAAACATAAACACAAACATGAAATTAATAAAAAAAATGAAAAATAAGAAGATAATTTTTTAAAAATTAAAACTAAAAGAAAAATAGAATTTATTTTTAAAAAAAAAAAACACAAAAACTAAATAATGAAATTACAGAAACAGTAGAAAGTTTATCCAAAGTGCACCTTTGGAACTCCAATGTTATAAAGAAAATAAATTAAATTTTTTTGAGACGATTGGACAAAGTAAGATGAATAGAAAAAATCAAATCAAATTATTATTTTTAGAGATTTAAAAGAAAATTAATTATCTATTATATTATATCTTATAAATACGAGTTTGTACGGATCTGCCACTTGAAAAGTCTATCTTACCCCTCATTTCAAAAATGACAATTTAGCCCTTAACCTACCTTTGTACTGGCTTGAAAAGACGTTTTGGAACCGTCGTCAACCGCCCAAGACGAAACGTTTTGGAACGTCGTCAGGTCAGTTACATCAACCGCCTCGCCAAACGCCTCCACCAGTTCCAGAACTCAAATAGCCCACCCAACCAATCCAGAGACCAATCGGTAGACCAAAAGACTCCTTGGCCGCACCCACCAAGCGACCTGTCTATCCGCCTGCGGACCAGCTGACTTGCCTTTGCGACCGCAGACCAGCCGACCTACTTTATCCGACCGCAGACCATCAGAAATGTCTGTCCGACCTTCTGACCATCAGACCTGTCTGTCCGAACGCTAACCATCCAACCGAGGACCAACCGACCGAGGACCTTCCGACTTGCCTATCCGACCGCTAACCAACCGACCTGATCATCCGACCGAGGACCAACTGACCAGACCAACCGACCGAGGATCTTCCAACCTGCCTATCCGACCGCTAACCAACCTACCTGACCATCTGACCAACCGACCTGACCAACCGACCTAAGCGCAAATTTTTCTCCTTTTCCACCCGACTTCGTGTCTAACTTCCTTTAAGATCCTGCTATCCTTATTATTATTATTATTATTATTATTATTATTATTATTATTATTTGTGCGTAACAATTATCAAAGTTGAAATATCATTGCTATTTTTGACATTTCAAAACTCATAAAGAGATGCAGGGTCACCCTTCTTATCTCAGTCTACCCGCCTGCGGACCAGCTGACTTGCCTATCCGACTGCAGACCACCATCAGACCTGTCTGTCCGACTGCTAACCATCCTACCGAGGACCAGCCGACCATACCAACCGACCGAGGACCTTCTGACCCGCCTATCCGACCGCTAACCAACCGACCTGATCATCCGACCGAGGACCAACCGACCGAGGACCTTCCGACCTGAGCGCAAATTTTTCTCCTTTTCCACCCGACTTCGTGTCTAACTTCCTTTAAGATCCTGCTATCCTTATTTTTATTTTTATTATTATTATTTTTTGTACGTAACAATTATCAAAGTTGAAATATCCTTGCTATTTTTGACATTTCAAAACTCATAAAGAGATGCAGGGTCACCTTCTTATCTCAGTCTATCCGCCTGCGGACCAGCTGACTTGCCTATCCGATCGTAGACCAGCCGACCTACTTTATCCGACCGCAGACCATGAGACATGTCTGTCCGACCGCTAACCATCCGACCGAGGACCAACCGACCAAGGACCTTCCGACCTGCCTATCCCACCGCTAACCAACCGACCTGATCATCCGACCGAGGACCTTCCGACCTGCCTATCCGACCGCTAACCAACCCACCTGACCATCCGACCAACCCACCTGACCAACCGACTTAAGCACAAATTTTTCTCCTTTTTCACCCGACTTCATGTCTAACTTCCTTTAAGATCCTGCTATCCTTATTTTTATTATTATTATTATTTTTTGTGCGTAACAATTATCAGAGTTAAAATATCCTTGCTATTTTTGACATTTCAAAACTCATAAAGAGATGCAGGGTCACTCTTCTTATCTCAATCTATCCGTCTGCGGACCAGCTGACTTGCCTATCCGACCGCAGACTAGCCGACCTACTTTATCCAACCGCAGACCAGCCGACCTACTTTATCCGACCGCAGATCATCAGACCTGTCTGTCCGACCGCTAACAATCCGACCGAGGACTTTGGAATATGCATGCCCGAACAGTCCGAAAATGGCCTAATTGAAATAACTTTACAACAGCCATCGCCTGCAGAATTTAACCTTGTCACACTCCCAGGAATTATTGACAAACTTAATTTACAACAACAGTTTGTCTTTAACACTATTATTGAGAAACTGCATAACAAGAAACCTTATGTCTGTTTTGTTGATGGACCAGCTGGTACTGGGAAAACTTTCTTATACACTGCTATTTTGTCATACACATCTGATCATACCATTAAATCTATTGCTGTAGCAACATCTGGATTTGCTGCATCGCTCCTTCCTAATGGACAAACTGCCCACTCAAAATTCAAATTGCCATTGGATATTAATGAGCATAAGACTTGTCAGATAAGCAAACAGTCTACCTTAGCAAATGAGTTACGACATACCGACCTAATTATTTGGGATGAAATTTCAATGGCAAGACGTGAACTAATTGAGGCTTTTGACATTACTATGAGAGATATTATGGATAACAACATCAGTTTTGGTGGTAAAGTTATAATCTTCGGGGGGGATTTCCGTCAAATTACTCCTGTCATAAGAGACGGAACAAAGGACCAGTACATCGAAGCAAGTTGTGTATCGTCTCCTCTATTTACACATGCAGATAAGTTTCACTTAACTGTCAACATGCGAGCACAAAACGATAAATCATTTGCAGCATTTCTTGAGGAAGTAGAGAACAACTCTTGTGTAAATAACAACAAAGGAGAGATTCAGATCCCAACAACTTCATTGATTACCTCTGAAAATAATGACTTGTTGCAACTAATTGACAAGATCTACCCACATAATTTACTCCATCCAAGTTCCTCTGCTGCATTAATTGGTAGATCTATATTGACACCAACCAACGAGACAGTTGATACTATTAACAATCAAATAATTGAAAGCATGTTTGGAGAACCAATCGTACTAATTGCAAGAGATGTAACTAAAGATCCATCACAACAAGCACATTATGAAGATTACCTAAATACTTTGACACCTAATGGTATGCCACCTCATAGATTAGTTTTGAAGACAGGTGCACCAATAATGCTATTGCGTAACTTAGACCCCACAAATGGCCTTTCAAATGGTACACGGCTTGTTTGCAAGCAAATTACACACAATCTCTTACAAGCAGAGATTGCAACTGGCCCGCAAAAAGGAACTTTATGCTTCATACCACGAATACCTTTAAAGCCTAACAATATACATGAATGCTCTGTTGAGTTCATACGTACTCAATTTCCAGTGAAGTTGTGCTTCTCAATGACCATTAACAAATCACAAGGGCAGACATTAGACGTTGTTGGAGTGTACATGAAACAACCAGTATTTATGCATGGCCAACTATATGTTGCACTATCACGAGCAAAATCTTTTGACTCTTTGCATGTCCTCATTCCTTCAGACATCAACACTGGAATGCATTGTTCTTGGACGAGAAACATAGTTTACAAGAAGCTTTTACAATTGGCTGGCATTAATATACCTCCACTTCCAAATCCCACATAGTCCGCATCCATAAGAGCCCGCCTGCTACCCTTACTCCCACATTATTGTCAACAATCTATTTCTTTTTTATTCAGTTTTTGCCTTTTTTGGTCACATCTCATGCCGTCTTTAGTTTGTTTCGGGTGATTTTTCATGGATTATATTTTTATGGAGGCTTAAATCAAACATGGTAAGTTCTCTAATATTTTTATGATACACTTAATTTTGTTAGTGTGAGTTACAGTTATGCTGCATTTATTTATTCATGAATCTTCTATTTCTGTCAGAATTTTCAGTCCTGCTTTTTCCTACTGTTTGATGCAAGCTGATTTTTAGCTATTTATATTGTTATGCATCTATGGTTTTTTCATGTAGCATATATGTAAACTGACTTTCTATCATCTACACCTTATGTACGTATATTATCTCTTATAGATTGCTCTCCTATTTGTTGTGAGATGTCAACACTTTGAGTTTGTTATACCTCTGACAAAATATGTGAACGCTATATACCACACCAAAGTAGGAGATGGCATGCGCTTTCAGAAGCTATTTGAAACTAAAGAATCCAGTGTTCATAACTACGTTGGACATTCATTGCAGTTTATATTATAAAAATTACATCTTCTTATTGAGTTCTCCAATACGTGCTTAACTAGAGGAATATGGCCACAATTACTCACATAAGTGACTTGGATGCTATTACATAGACAAATTCACATTAGCGTTCTGTCAAGGTATGATACTCATTCGAAATTTCGTAAATGACTATAGAAGAATTAACTTGTCTATTGTACTAAAGAGTGGGGATGTACTTACCTATGAATGTAATTGCTTATTTGCTTATTATATTGTTTATTTAGTATTATTATACACTTAAATGCAGTGACATTAGAGATTCTAAGATCAGTGTCATTCACAGGCTAAGAGAGGGCACTCGTTTGTTAGTGAATCAGTGTTTCTTGCTCTCCTACACCGTTTAGAATACAATTAAATACTAATTATTGCGTTTCAAATTAGGTAATGATCTTCTATTTCATTCTTCAGCTCTGATCCAAACATTTTCGAACATCTAAGATCAGGATTGAGCATCGAAGATCCTGCTAAGATATAGTATCAACCGGTAATTTATCAAAGAAATCAACAATAGTTTCAATCTAAATTCGTATTGTAATGGTGATCAAACTTGTCATTACATGACATTTTTTATCGTGATTCCAATTTCCCTTCGTAACGAGATTGTTCCCCTTAATGTTAACAATCAATAATTTATGCACTATGTTTGCTTTCAAATGACTATACAGTAAACATTTTTTTTATATTGTGTTATGTATTGATTTATTTAGCAATATGGAAATTATATTTCAATCTTCCTAAGCTAATCTTCTTTGTAAATGTCCTGCTTATCACCTGCTATTGGACAATGTTGCACAGGAAATGCTGGGAATGAATCAATCCATATACACAGCCATAGATGTTTCAAAGTCCATTAATGGTTTAGAGATCAAGTATGTGGATATATTACCATTGTTGTTTGCCAGCACTGATCTCTAGATTAATGGGAGATAACTGCCTACAGTACCGGATTTCAGGCAGAAGATTCTTGCTGCCAACAACATACTCTTTGCTAAACTGGAATACATATACTTAAACGACAGAAAACTTTTATTTACATATATGATGCATATGCTGTTCCATTACAGCCTTACATTAATTTAGTCCATACTTATTTTGTATACAACAAAGTCTAATGTGGTCTTAATGCCTAGAACCATTTCATCTCAACATGATTTTTGTATCATAGAATAAAATCCATTCTACAGCTGCAACTCCAAAAATTTTGGGGGCAAGATTTTTAGTGTAACATCACTTTCATAATGATGAAACATGCATTATCTCATCAGCTTGATCCTTGTTAAGATTAATATTGAATGATTACAACTGATATCTTTGTTTTTATATACTGTGTTATCACCTCTGCGTCTATGTGTTTTCTATCCCCGCTCAGTGTGTCGAAGTTTTTTAACGATTTTTATGCAACAATTTCGTCATTTTTGAACAAGTAGAATCCGACTGAAGAAAACATTATAACCTGTTATGTTTTTCAACATAGAAAGTTTCGCTCGTGTGCCTAATCCCTAATGCAAGGTTTGTTGCCCTGAATAAGTCTTAAAGTAGATAATCACCACTTTCGTATTCAATAAGCAAGCATTTACCACTCAATACCCTAACAAATACTAATAACAGAAAACATTTACAATCCAAAACCAAAATCAATTGACCAACTTAGAGATAATAATTAACCATAACAAAATAATAACGTGATAATAATTAAAATAACTACCATTTCAAGCCGTGCTATGCACGAGTGCACACATAATTAAAATATTTAGAAATGAATTAATCAACTATTAATCATAACTATTTCTAAAATAGTATTATATTATACATGTATATTTAAATGTTAATTTTTATTTGACAATAATTAAAATAATTAACTATATTTATTATTCAACTATTGAAATAAAATAAAAATAAAAATATAAAATACAAAATTAATTTTAATTGAATCTATCATTGAAATTTGTACTCAATTAATAAATATATAAATTTAATTTCAAACAATATATAATGAACAATATTATATTATCCAATATCTTTATATAAGATAATATAAATAAAAAGTAAAATAAAAATTATAGAGAAGAAATATAAAATATAATTATTATTGAGCATAAAAAAAAATAATAATAGTAATAAATAATGGCAGTAGGATGCTAGATCGGTCAGGATATAAACCGAATGGCCCAAAAGTCCGGAAAAAAATTGTCGAACAGGCGCAGATGTCTATGAAGAGGAAGGTCGGGCAAGGAAGAAGTATAGACAGACGCAGAGGTTTGTGTAGAGGACAGTCTGCCCATCTAAGGAAATAGGACAAATAAAGCTGGTCGGTTGCTCAGTAGCCGGGACCGCAGTCGGTTGCCCTGTGTAGGGGCCCACAGTTCCTTGGTCAGCCAACACTTCTCATGTCCACACATGTCCTCATCCGACCACATAGTCATTCTCACTTTCTTCAATATCTAACTCACTGGACCGACCGCAGACTTTCCACTTTATTGATCCAACTGCAAGCCTCCTGACTTACAAACCCCCCGACCTCAGTAATTCCCGACCTGATGACCTTCCCACCTACGGACTTACCGTCCCGACGACCGTCGGACCGCAGGATTTCCCGACCTGGGGACCCAAGACGTGGGATCTTCCGACCTGAGCACTTACGGAGTTGCAGAGCTCAGGCCTGCGTATCTCCAGACCGGATGACCTCCCGACCGGAAGAAAATCCGACCTCCAAACGTCCCGACATGGGGATTTTCCGACCTCCGAACTTCCTTCGTTAAAATATCCTTGCTATTTTTGACATTTCAAAACTCATAAAGAGATGCAGGGTCACTCTTCTTATCTCAATCTATCCGTCTGCGGACCAGCTGACTTGCCTATCCGACCGCAGACTAGCCGACCTACTTTATCCGACCGCAGACCAGCCGACCTACTTTATCCGACCGCAGATCATCAGACCTGTCTGTCCGACCGCTAACAATCCGACCGAGGACCTTCCGACCTGCCTATCCCACCGCTAACCGACCGACCAGACCAACCGACCGAGGACCTTCCGACCTGCCTATCCGACCGCTAACCAACCCATCTGACCATCCGACCAACCAACCTGAGCGCAAATTTTTCTCCATTTCCACCCGACTTTGTATCTAACTTCCTTTAAAATCCTGCTATCCTTATTTTTATTATTATTATTATTATTTGTGCGTAACAATTATCAAAGTTGAAATATCTTTGCTATTTTTGACATTTCAAAACTAGAGATGCAGGGTCACCCTTCTTATCTCAATCTATCCGCCTGCGGACTAGCTGACTTGCCTATCCAACCGCAGACCAGCCGACCTACTTTATCCGACCGCAGACCATCAGACCTGTCTGTCCGACCGCCAACCATCCGACCAGACCAACCAACCGAGGACCTTCCGACCTGTCTATCCCACCGCTAACCAACCGACCGAGGACCAACCGACCAGACCAACCGACCGAGGACCTTCCGACCTGCCTATCCGACAGCTAACCAACCCACCTGACCAACCGACCAGACCAACCGACCGAGGACCAACCGACCTGAGCGCAAATAATTCGATTGTATTTTTGTTTTACAGTTTATATTTCAAATAAATAATGTTTCACTACATTACATTATAGAATAGTCGCGCGGTATACCGCGCAAGAGCGTGTTCTAGTATATATATAAGTAGATCAACAAATCACAATTTTTTGTTTTTTTTAGAAAAAAACAATTATAAGATTTTCAAAGTGTGCAGTCCTAAGCTATCCTATTTAACTTCCCAAATTTGTAAAAATATGTAGGGTGTGTTTGTTTGGAGTTTTGGATTTTGAGTTGGGATTTGAATAGTAAAAATTTTGAATTTGAATAGTTGTATGATGTGATATAAATAGGTGTTGATATGATGTTTTGAATGTAAAATTGATTTTTAGTATAATATAAAAATGAAAAATAGGTGTTTGATTTGATATTTTTGGGGAAAAAAAATTGAATAAATAGTGTAAATCCAATCCAATCCCCTAGACAAACACACCCATATTTATTTTTTTAAATATAAATTTTTAAAAATAGTAAAGAATTCTTTTATATATATATAGGAATATATGTATATATAATACATATTAAATTTTAAAAATAGGTTTCCTCATATTTCCTACTATACCTTAAAACTATATGTAAAAACGCAAATGAATACTTATTTAAGGGACAAATGAAGTATAATAATAATAAAAAAAAAATTCACGTGTCCGTTAGGTGTCGTTGACCTGACGGACACGTGACTTTCAGTGAGCCACGCAGGCATTTCCGACGCCGGATGACTAAAACTGCAAAAAAACTTCACTTACGAGATTAGTTTGCGACATATTTTACTTACGAGACTGAAATAATAAGAAGTCTAGTGAGAGATTAAAAAAGAAAAACAATATACCCTAAAATTTATACAATAAAAATACATACTCCATTTGTCCCACTATCAAGTCTCCACTGTCATTTATGTCCGTCTCATATGTCATGCCACTTTTCTTTTTTTAAAAAAATGATTGTACATGTAGTTTCATTTTAAAATTTTTAATATATAATTAGAATAATGAATTATATTAATTTTAATTATAATTATTTATATTATAGAATAATTTTCATTATAAATTCTTAATTTTAAATTTTATACTAAATTTCTGTCTTTATTAATATCTTGTGTATTTTTATTTTTTTTTAATAAAATGTAAAGTGTATTATACAATTTAATCTTTAAAATTTTATATTCCTTTTGTTATGTAAGTATATATTCATTTATTTTTTAATATTGAACTTTAAATATTAATATTATATTTATACATAGCACAAATTAAAAAAATAAAAAATAAAAATACTTTTATGAATATTTTATAATACAAATATAATAATATTTATATAAAATATTATATAAATATAATAATATTTTTAATGTCGAGTAAAATAATAAATTGTTAAAAGGACTCCGGAGTATTATAACATATCACATCTACTATTTAGTATTTATATTACATCAATACTATTTTTTACTAGGTTTTAATTTTTTAAAAATTTAAAAATTTTCATAACTCTTATAAATAGTCTAATATCATTGGATGTTAGGGTGTGTTTGTTTGGGAGATTGGATTGAATTTACATTATTCATCCAATTTTTTCCCCTAAAAAATATTAAATCAAACACTTATTTTTCATTTTTTATATTATACTAAAAATCAATTTTACATTCAAAACATCACATTAACACCTATTTATATCACATTATACAACTACTCAAATTCAAAATTTTTAATATTTAAATCCCAACTCAAAATCAAAACCTCCAAACAAACACAATTGAAGATTATAATGGTTTTTTTTTTCATAACTATGCTTTTAGCATCCTCAGTTCCCTTGATGACCAACTACTACTGCGATGCAATTTCAAACCGGACCCGTTTTCTTGTCTTTTTGCAGCTACCTAGGCATGTTAAAACGGGGTAGCGGAACGGATTGACCCACAATCCATCATAACTTGCAAATAAACGGATTATTTGCAGATCAATCCGCAGCAGAACGGACCAAATATTTTATCAGTCCAACCCAATCCATCGGCCGGTTGCGACCTAAGTGTGCTAACCCATGGACTTTTTGGGATTTGGATTTTGAGTTGAGATTTGAATAATAAAAATTTTGAATTTGAATAATTGTATGATGTGATATAAATAGGGGTTGATGTGATGTTTTGAATGTAAAATTGATTTTTAGCATAATATAAAAAGTAAAAAATAGGTGTTATTTGATATTTTGGAGGAAAAAATTGAATAAATAGTACTCTCTCTGTCCTAAACACTTTGAAACATTTTCTTTTTTTGTTTGTCACAAATTTACTGCAACATTTCCAAATTTAGAAATAATTAATAATATTTATATACATATACTAATATACACTTCACTTTATCTTATCACATCACTCAAATAAAAAAATAAATAATTATTTCTCTCTCCAATCACATCACTTAATATTCAAATTATCTCAAATTACCATACTTAGTACTCCTACCTAAAATTTGGAGGAAATTCTCCAAACAAACACTCTTAGTTGAGATGAGTGATTACTAATTATTATATCTATTTAAACGCGGCTAATCTATTCTCGACCCACGGCCCATGTGGATTGGCCCATTTAAACCCGTATTTTAACGGACTTAAAAAATCACAATGCAAACCTTCTTAAAATTGAGACGGGCGGACTAACCCGGCGGACTTAACAATTTTGACTGCTCTATATATAACATAACATGGACGAACCGGTCCCAACCGAACCGATGCTGATTTAAAATTAAAATCCAACGGCGTTTCACTTCAAATCAGCCCTAACGAATCTCCAGCCCAGCGTTCTGTGTGTTCCCTCCCCTCCCTATCAATTTCTAGTTCAGCAATGGGCAGCAGCGCCGCCGTCGACAAGGGGGCTGATTTCGCCAACTATTTCTGCACCTATGGATTTATCTACCACCAGAAGGAGATGCTCTCCGACCGCGTTCGGATGGACGCTTACTTCAATGCCATTTTTGAGAACAAGCATCATTTCCAAGGAAAGGTACGTACTTTCATCTGATAATGAGCTTCTTCTGTCTTTGTTGAATGAAGCATCTGGACAAACTTGTTTAAGCACTCTGAAGTGATGCCTTAGGCTAGCACTTGTTCAATATTCAGCTTTTGTTTTTGTTTTGTTTGTTTTTTTTTTTGCGTTTTGTTGTTGTACCTACAATGTGAGGCGTTAATGAGGCCGAAAAAGTTCCATCTGAAAGCGGATGCAACGTAGGATTATAATTGTACCACCACAGAACCATTCGCAAGTGTCTAAGAATGATATGCTCCATTTGAGATTTTAACACAGATATATTTTACTGCTGGATTCAGAAAGTCGTGTAAGGCTATCAACTTAATTTAGAGAAGGTAGATGCTTGTGATCATCTACAAGTATGGTGATTACGGCTTTACCTGGTGGGTTTCTTCGTGGCTGGTAGCTGGACGACGATTATGTCTCAAGTATAGAGAGTCTTGAATCGCACTGCATTTATGTGCCGCCCAACCTGGAGTTATTGCTCTTGAGTTGCTCTAAGAAACTATTACGAAAGAAGTTCTAGTTTGCCAACCAGAGTGAGAGGGTGTGTGTTTTGGTTTTGAGTTTTAATTATAAATAGTAAAATTTTGAATTGAAATAGTTGTTTGATTTGATATAAATATGTGTTGATGTGATGTTTTGAATGTAAAATTAGATTTTAGTGTAATAAAATAAATAAAAATTGGGTGTTTGATATGATATTTTTCGAGGGAAAAGAAAATTGGAATAGTAAATAGAGCCTTACGGCCTTGTTGGCATAGGCATCTTTGTGATGTTCTAGAATGTAAGATTTTTTAGTATTGTTGCATTACAAGGTGAAATGTTAGGCAATTTGGTTGCATTTTTCTAGTAGCGTGTCATTGACAGTGTTTGATTTCTTATTTGGAGCATCAGCCTCTACTTAGTGATCATGGTTTGGTGTTTGTCAATCAGTGGTTCACTGGAGCTGTGAATGCAAACAAAGAGCCAACAAAGGGATGCTTTGGTATAGCAATCCAGGCAGTAGAAGTTCAGAAATAGCTCCATTAGTGATCATGTAGGTGATCATTGTAGATTGATGTCTTGTGTTCATCCTCAAGTAGTTTGATGGACAGTTCATGCATGAAAAATATTCTTTTTACAATGATAAGTTTATACCCTAATGACCTCTATTTTGGGTAGATGATTTTGTAAAGCGCATTGGATTAGTTATATTCCATTTACATAATATAAATTAATTTAAAACCTTGTATTGGGTAGATATTGTTGTTAGCTATTCTTGGTTGGCTTTGTTCTGTTGCAGATATATTGAACCTTGATTACAACACGAGTGGTGAAGTATATATAAAGCTTTTCAGCGAATTTGAATTGCTGAAAAACTCAAGTGCTGCTAAATTAATGAATATATTTTATGTTTTGGTGAACGCTTTATTTTAATTTATTTTATTTTTGTTGGGACCCTTCAGATATTTGGCTGGATGTGATATTGATCCCAAATAAATATGTAATTTGAGAATTCTGGAGTGGTTTTCTATCTCTGGGTTTAATGTTCTATCGTAAGAAGAAACCTTGATTATTCACAAGATACTGAGAGAAATGTAATGCCCTTTCTTGTTATATCCGAAGACATAGAGCTCCTCAAAAGAATTTAATAGAAAATATTAATTTAGATAGTTCCGTTTTTTGATAGTTTATGGAAAATATTTGGAATTAAATGGGGTTGGTTTTATCTGTGTTTCAGACTGTTCTAGATGTAGGAACCGGAAGTGGCATTCTAGCTATATGGTCTGCACAGGCAGGCGCAAGGAAAGTTTATGCTGTTGAAGCTACCAAGATGGCTGACCATGCTCGCGAACTTGTTAAAGCAAACAGGGTTCAGGATGTTGTTGAAGTGATTGAGGGATCGATGGAAGATATTACTTTGCCAGAACAAGGTGAATGCATTCCCCTTTTCATTGAAACTTCTTTTCTCAGATATGTTTCTACTTCAGCTAGTTGCATAATTTGCATGCATGCTATGGATCTGACACTTTCTCTAATATTTCTGGACAGTGGATGTAATTATTTCAGAATGGATGGGATACTTTCTGCTTCGTGAATCAATGTTTGATTCTGTAATATGTGCTCGGGATCGCTGGCTGAAACCAAATGGAGTAATGTCAGTTATATTCCCTTTAGATTGACTAAGTTTTTCTTGTAGTTTGCAGCTTCTGTTTTTAGTTCATCAGTTTCAGAATTTGGTATTCTTGCAATGGCGCAGAGTAATGTTGCATGACATGTGAAATAAGTACAATATCATTAGTGTGGGCTTTTAACTTAGTGAATGCAAATCATGAAATGGTTTTTGGAGGAATGATATTAGATCATGCAAACTTTATGCTTTTTGCACGATGTTCCAGATTGCATGCCCCTCATAATTAGTTGGTTCCCCAATCTGAAATCATCACCACACTGAATAGTAATAGTCCAAGGTTTAAAATTTCCTTGAAGATTTTATTTGCACTCCAAAGTTGTTGAAGGCTTGGAATTTGATACTGTGCACAATTGATCATGGAAGTTATCGGTTCTGTATATATGTTTTCCCAAGTCCTTACGATGTTAATTTCAATCATAAACTGAATAAACCAGTAGATTATTATTTCGTAAATGAATATAGGACATTATGCCTCATCAATACGAGTTAAAACATGTTGAATTTAGTTTCGCGTTCCGGTCATGCGTGATTTTGAGGTGCTCACTTATTGTTCATTGTTCATTACTCTAAGCTTCGCTCTTTCAGGTATCCCAGCCATGCCAGGATGTGGATGGCACCTGTCAGGTCTGGCTTGATAGATCAAAGAGTGAGTGATTATCAGGTAGCGATGGAAGAATGGCGCAGTTTTGTTGATGAGACAAAAACTTATTACCGCGTTGACATGGGTGTTCTAACAAAACCATTTAACGATGAGCAAAGAAAATACTATTTGCAGGTTGGTATTATGAATCATTTTTTACTTTTAGATGTTCATACCTTCGAAAAAACTGCTGATGTATGTTCTGAAAGTGTGGTAGTACTAAATTGTCTGATACTGCCATTGATCTTTGCTAGAATATGTATATGGATATATATCTAATCTTGTGAAGCCTGTGCTTGTTTCATTGACTTAAATTCCACAAGTTACCTACTGCTAGCTTTGAAATCAAATAGTGAACAACCTTATTGCTGACCTAGAAATTTCTCAAAGTTGATGTATGTATTGTAGTGTTAAGCAATAGAAAGTAGTAATATCATAGTTCTCTATGCATGGCATGTGACGGTGATCATGTAGTGCCAATTTAGAGCCTGTTTTTTCTATAGCATTTGGGTTTTGCCAAAGCACACATCTGGTGATCCTTGAAAACTCATTATTCTTTTCGAGCCTTACGAGCCAAGCTCGAGCTTGAATTTGAGTCTAATGAGCCGAGCTCGAGCCACTATTTTAGCTCGAACTCTTAACGAGCCGAGCCGAGTTTGTACCGTTAACAAGTTTGAGCCGAGCTAGAACAATCAATACTCAAGCTCGCTCGGCTCGTTTAACAGCTCTACTTGTGATATTGTTCATCGCTGTTTGTCTTTGCAGTGTTACACCATTGTTACTTTTCATAATTTACCTAAAACCCTTAATCCCTATTGATATTTTTCCACCAGTCTCAACAACCAGATGATAAATGGACATCAATTGTGAGATAAAACTAAAAGCTCACTTTGACTCTGTTATTTGCATTTGTGTGGCTTACTGCTTGTTAGTTATATTTCTACTCAATACCCTTCGAACTGACCTATAAAAACTAAAAGCTCACGCTGTTGGATTTGTTAGACATCGGCGTGGAGTAACCTTCACCCGAAGCAAATTATTGGGACACCGGCAATAATCAAGGAGATAGATTGCTTAACAGTAAATGTAGATGATATCCGCACTATTTCGACGAGCATTTCCTCGTCCATCAGCGAAGAAAACCTGAGGTTCTGTGGCTTTGCTGGATGGTTCGATGTGCATTTTCGAGTAAGTCCAAATTCCCTCTACTAGAACATCGATAGTAAGAAGCTCTTATAATGAATCATGTATGTATGTATAAACTAGGGAAGCGATCAAAATCCAGTGCAAAAAGAAGTCGAGTTGACAACTGCTCCAAGTGAAGATGCCGGGACACACTGGGGACAGCAGGTTTGTTCGGCTTTCTTCTTCTGTGCGTCGATTCTCTGCTTGATGTGGACTTCTTTATGACTGGTTTCGGTATTGTTGTTGTAGGTGTTCATTCTTGATCGGCCTGAGCGAGTTCAGGTTGCGGATGATTTGACGATTCAGTTCTCCATGAGTCGGTCGAAGGAGAATCATCGGCTGATGGAGGTAGACATCAAGTACGAGATACGACGGCAGTCGGTTAGGACTTCTCAGAAAAAGTTCTACATAGAGTGATCGAGAAGGCATCAACTAAGTAAGTCACCAATGCATCAACTATGATGTTTTAGAAATGCTAGTTTCCTTTTTACTGATACACACATATATATGTATTTATCTATTTATAAGTTATAAAAAAAAAATATTGAATTTTAATTCGTCTGAGATGTTTGTTTTAGTTGAATGGAACTTTTGAAATTATCGAACAACCCCACCTTTAGATGAATGGACAGGACATTTCGGCAATATGTATGTATGTATGTATGTATGTATTTATCCATATTAACCCATGTGTATGATGCGGCTCTAAAATATAACAAATTTTAGGTTTTTTTTTTTTTCGATTTTGGTTTCGAACGTTTCTTTTCTTTACTTCTTTTTTTTTTTTTTTTTTTTTCAAGAACCATAAAATATCGTATTCTTTTCGTCCAGTTAGAAAGTATATATATTTTTTTTTGAGATAAGTAAATATTTCATTAAATACTTTACTTTTTTGTACTAATATTTTTATTTTACATCATATTATTATTTTTACATCAAAAAATAAAAGTAAAAATGTCATTACATTAACGGAGGGAGAATTATTGTTTAAGCAAAAAATTAGACCAATAAATTATTGTTTGGAGTTTGATTATTTTATTTATTTTAGTTTGATTATTATTATTTTCAGTAATGTCGTATTCTTTGGTTACTATTCTTAAGTGTGTATGGGATAAATGTGATATCTTGCAGTTTGGCCTTTAAGCCATTTGAAATTGAATAGAGAGCAAAGCAATGAAAGTTACGGTAGACAAACTTATTTCGGGCCTAGCTTTAAAGCCCAAATCCGATGCTCGAATCAAATTTTCGGATGGTACTTATTTTTGGTAGCTCTAATTGTGTGCTCGAAAGCTTTTCCATTGACTTTTAAATGGCATTGATTAAGATTAAAACATGTTATTATCGTATCTTGTATGCCTCAATTGGTTCCAACTCTTAGGAGGAATGATTTGGTTTGATGACGAAGGCTATTCATTGAACATTGGGCAAGGTGCATTCACTTGGTTGAAGCGTAATGATCATGTCTGTAATTCATTGTATCTCCCGTGAGCCATCTCCAACCCTCCACTCTATTTTGCAGTTAATCTACAGTATTTTACTCTAACCATAAACTTCAATTTTTACTTAAAAAAAAGTATATTCCCTGTATATTCCTCTTTTATATTATTTTATATAACTTTTCATATTTATAAATTACACCCCAACTTTAAATTATTTTTACATTAGATCCATACACATAATTTATATTACTTTTCAACCGTAAAATTATATATCAATTTAGAAAAATAAAATTATACATTATTTTTTTTTAAAATAAAATTATATTACTTTCCAAAAACTAAAATTATATCACTTTTAAAAAATAAAATTATACATTATTTTTCAAAAAAATAAAATTACATACAATTTTTTAAAATATAAAATTATATATCATCCGCTAAAAAATTAAAATTACACAATACATCCAAAAAGTACCAAAAATATAAAAAACACCGTAAAAACTCCATTCCAAAAATAGAGTGGAGTAACAGTGTTACTCCATGTTTTGGAGGAACACTGTGCATATCTGCAAACCCCCCCCTCCCCTCCTATTTTTTGTGCAGTGAGTTAGAGATGATCTAATAACTTTTATTCTTCTGCTCTTTCGTCTCAAATAATTTGTTTTTTTTATGAATATAATTATATTTTAATTTATAATTATTTTTATTACTGAAATGTAAAAAAATAATATTTTGTATTCAATACAAAATTTGTAATATTATATACTAATTTTTAAGCAATGTTAGTAGTCCAATTCATTTAATTAATATAATTTTATTTAAAATATATAATTATTAAATAATTAAATTATTCTTAATTATTCTTAATATTATTATTAATTTTAAAAATAAAAAAATTAAATTAGAATTATCCATAATATTATAATTATATATTAAATATATACAATAATATTAAAAAAAAAATTTACTTTCCCTCTCCTCCACATGGAGGAGAGAGAAAAGTAAAAACCGTTGTCATCCAAATCGGAAGAGAACGGTTAATGTGACAAGCCACATCGAGTGTGTTTGTTTGAAGGATTTTGGAAGATTTCTACTGTTCATCCAATTTTTTCTCCTCAAAAACATCACATCAAACACTTATTTTTCATTTTTTATATTATACTAAAAATCAATTTTACATTCAAAACATCACATCAAACCCTATTTATATCACATCATACAACTATTCAAATTCAAAATTTTTACTATTCAAATCCCAATCCAAAATCCAAACCCCCAAACAAACACACCCATCATATATTTTTTATAAAGAAATAAATAAGTACTCCATCGGTCCCAGAAAATATGAGACTATTACTATAAATACGGAAATTTAGGTAAAATATAATTAGTAAATAATTAAAAAGTGTATTAGTAAAAATAATTATAGATTAAGATTAAGATAAGTAAATAGTTTAACTAAAATTAAAAAAATTATCAAATTTAAAATTTAAAATGCGATTAAAATGTATAATTATATTTCCAAAAATAGAAAGGACAAGTTATGTGGGAGAGACAAATTATGTGGGAGAGACAAATTATGTGGAACGGATAGAGTAAAATATAAGGCCATCGCAACTAGGCGCATCCATCCTAGCACCTCCTGTCAGCATTTAGGGTGTGTTTCTTTTAATGAGTTCGAAAAAAAAAAATTATTTGAATTGATATAAAATAATATTTGATGGAATATTTTATGGAAAAAAAAATATATTTAAATAATATTTTTTTTAAATACAGAAACCAAATAACAAAATTTTAAAAAGTTATCCTTTAATAAATATTATATTTAAATTCATATAAAAATTATAGGCTAAGCCGCCAGATATGTCGGTTTTTATCCTTTAATAAATATTATATTTAATTTCATATAAAAATTATATTAATAATATATATTACTATATGATACGTACGGTTTGAAAATTTTCTATTAAAATATTATATTCAAATTTTGTAATATGACATTTTATTTAATATTTATGTTTTTATTAAAATAATATTTTTAATAATTATAATTTCTAATATATTATTTTTATATTTTACATAATCTTTTAATGAATATTTTTGTAATATATTCGATTAGATATCTTTTGATTCAATTATATAATTTATTTAATTAAAATTATAAACAATACAAATAATAAATATAAATACATGAAAACATTCATAAATTTAAAAGTAAATTTATATGATTTAATTAAAATTACTCATAATACAAATATTAATTAAAAATACATAAAAAAATATTTATAAATTTGAATACGAATTTACGCGACTTAATTAAAATTATGAACAATACAAATATTAATTAAAAATATATAAAAATAGTCATAAATTTGAGTTTAAACAATACTTATTATGCGACTGTAAAATTATTATTTTTATTTGTTTTATTTATTTATGCTAAGTAATTTTTTTATTTTTATTAAATATTATAAAAATAAAATATGATGAAAAAAATATAATTTTATTTTATAAATATATAAAATATTTAATAAAGTAAAAAAAAAAATAGAGATTTTAAAAAGTTTTTTTTAATGTCAATGTAAAAATATTTCTTTGTAATGTAACGTGGAGGAGAGAGAAACGTCTACGTGACACATAAAACAGAATGAGAAGAAATTCGGTATGAGTCGACCGTTGTCTTATCTTCCTCTTTCCTCCACGTGGGAAGAGAAAATATATACTTTTTAATTTTATTTTATATATTATATTTAATAATTTATTCCTCCCATATCTATTTATCTATATAATTTTTATACGAAATTATAGAAATATTAATATTATATTAAAATATAGTAAAAATACTAAATTAACCCTAATGACATAATATATTATTAATTGGAAAGATAATTGTAAAATTAAGTATATACAATTACTTTTAAAAAAAATGAATAGATTGTTAAGGGACGAACCAAATAGAAAAATAAAAAAATTGTTAATTATATATTATGTATAATTATTGTTTAATTTTTTAATTTTTAAAAATAAAATTTATGTTTATTTTATAAAATTAAAATATTGTATTACTTAAACAGAAATATAGAATATTATAGTTTTTTTATTAAATGCAAAATTTTATACAAATTGTTATATACATATTACATACGTTGCATCTACCTACGTATGTACATATTAATATATATGGATGCATTTTGTACACCTCGTTAGGACGTGTACTGTAATAATAATTAACGGTACTATATATGTGTGTGTGATTGATGATGAAAATGAAGTGAACAAAAATTCATTCTCTTTCTCTCTTGCCTCCTTACATTGCACTCACTTTTATATATATATATATACATACATCTATATTTATATACTTAATAATATATAACTATACATATCTACTTACCAATATTATTATATTAATATATAACACAAATTTATATTATATAAAATTTGTATTAAGTAAAATAATAAATTTATTAATGTGGAAGGGAGAGAAGTTTTAACAACTTTATTTTGGATTATACAATATAAGATAAGAACTGATTGAATATGTTTGTGAATTTATTCTCGAATCTTTGAATTTATTGAACAAATTTTGTATGCAAAATACGAATCAATTAGTGTCGGAAGCAAAATTTGAATAAATCTAAATTAAATTAAACCGAATCGAAATGAAAAAGAATTAAATCGAATAAACCCAAATCATTATACCACCGAAATCGAAATGAAATTTATGATATATTAAAACAAAAGGCATAAACTGGAATTAGAAAACAAACACAAACAAACAGAGCCAAAGAATGGATTGAAATGGAAATCTCCCTGTTCATCTTCTTCGTTCCAGAATTTCACAGCTTCATCTTTCGTTGAGCAAAAAATCGATCGACAACGGCGGTGACTCCAACTCGACAGCATCCTCCGGCGACAGTTCTCCTTCGGCGACTCCAGCGGCAGCCATGGCTCTACAGTCTGCTCCGGCGCACAACGCGCCTCTTCCGAACGGCCCCAACTCCGGCGACAGCTTGCGTTGCTTCCGGCGACTGTAACTTCTCCGATCTTTCACCGGCGAGAAGGACAGCGGACTTCGGCTCAGATCCTTGGTGCAATATTGGCCCGAGGTAACCA